TGCTTTGTTAGCCTTTAAACACTGGGGTTGTCTGCAGCAGCAATTTGATAATCAATTGTGGAAGTCCACTGAAATGAAGTCAAGAAGTCTTGGATGAGTTTGCTGTGTCAAACCACAGTAGCAAGTTAATGCTTAATTCTTTTCTGAGAATTACTCCTTGAGGCTACCTTTGGAATTTAACACAGCCACACAGTCATGAACACGTTTAAAGCAAGGAGGTCATTGGCGAATGATAGTGGATGGAGTTAAATCCAGCATCAGGTCATGAGAGGTGCTCTCCAGGGGTCAGTACTGGGGCCTGTTCAGTATCTTTATTGATGATCTGGATGAGGACATTGAGTGCACTCTCAGTACAAGGGTGGATAGTGATAGGACAAGGGACGATGGTTTTAAACTAAGACAGGGGAGATTTAGGTTAGGTATCAGGAGGAATTATTTTCACTCAGAGGGTGGTGAAGCACTGGAACAGGCTGCCCAAGGAGGCTATGGATGCCCCATCCCTGGAGGCATTCAAGGCCAAACTGGATGTGGCTCTGGGCAGCCTGGTCTGGCGGTTGGCAACCCTGCGAATAGCTGGGGGATTGAAACCAGATGATCATTGTGGTTCTTTTCAACCCAGACCATTCTATGATTCTGTGATATGTCTGCAGATGACACCACTTTGGGAGGAAGTGTCAATCTGCCTGGTGGTAGGAAGGCCCTACAGAGGGATCTGGGCAAGCTGGATAGCTGGGTTGAGGCCAATGGGATGAAGTTCAAGAAGACCAAGTGCTGAGTCTTGAACTTTGGCCACAACAACCCCAGGCAACGCTACAGGCTTGGGCCAGAGTGGCTGGCAAGCTGCATGGAGGAAATGGACCTGGGGGTATTGGTCAACGCTTGGCTAAACATGAGCCAGCAGTTTGCCTAGGAGGCCAAGAAGGCCAGTGGCATCATGACTTGTATCAGAAATAGTGTTGCCAGCAGGAGCAGGGAGGTGATCATTCCCCTGTACTCAGCTTTGGTGGGGCTGCACCATGAGTACGGTGTTCAGTTTTGGGCCCCTCACTATGAGAAGGACACTGAGGCCCTGGAGCATGTTCAAAGAAGGGCAACAAAGCTGTGAGGGGTCTGGAGCACAAGTCTTATGGGAAGAGGATGAGGAATCTGGGATTGTTTCATCTGGAGAAGAGGAGGCTCAGTTGGGACCTTATCGCTCGCTCTCTACAATTATCTGAAGGGACGTTGTGGCATGACAGAAGTCAGCCTTTTCTCCTACATAACAGCAACAGGACAAGAGGGAATGGCTTCAAGTTGCACTTAGGGAGAATTCAGGGTTGGGCTTTAGGAAAAAATTCTTCTCTGAAGGAGAGGTCATGTATTGAAATAGGCTGCTCAGGGAAATAGTGCTGTCACCATCTCTCGAGGTGTTTAAGGAAAGGGGAGGTGTAGTATTTAAAGACATAGTTTAGTGGGCAATATTGGTGGTAGGTGGACAGTTAGCCTAGCTGACCTCAGACGTCTTTTCAAACCTTAATGATTCTATGATTCTGTGATTCTCTGAATCATTTACACAGGCAAGAACAAGTGCATCTCTGTATTTAGACTGGCTCAGAAACATTCGATCTGTAGTTAACTCGATTCTCTTCTACTGAAGTGAAAAGGAGATGGAAGGCCATTTTTTTATGAACTGTTTCTTTTTCTTTATTATAAGCTGACTCCTCAGCCATTCTTAATGTGATTGAAAACTGCGTATTTTGCACTAAATAAACTAAATTTAAAACTGCACTAATGCACTAAATTTAAAAACAATTTCCAGAGATGATTTTGATAGTTTTTCCAACTGAAACACATGTGTGTAACCTGTATATTATTTATTCATATTCTTATTCTAGATACACAGCATCCTTTCTCCTGAAAAAAAAATAAAAATTGCAGCAGTGCCATGACTATTGGATTGCATTCCCCATGCATCTGTGTAGCCTTCTTGCAGTGTCTCTTGGACAGTGTCCAGGATCAGGTGGAAGAAGTCTAAGATATTCCAAGCTTAAATTGGCTGGGGGGTGATGAAAAGTCTTGAGCAGAAGGCTAAACAGAAGGTTGTGAAGTGTGGATGGGGTGCAGGTAGCTGCACTCTTAGTGTCCTGGGATCTAAATGTGTATCAGGATGCTGTAAAATACTGTCTTCCAGATGAAGAAGCCACTCAGTGTTAACACAAGGAAGCAACTTTGCAAGGTGCCCAAATCAGAAGCAAATTAATCAGGATAGCAAAACAATTTGCAGAAGTCAGTTAGTCACTAGAAGAAGCCATAATGGACAGGTGGAAGTTCCTTGCCCATTCTGTGCAAGGAAAGCTACGGAAGTTACACAAAGACATGCACTGCTCATTTCCCTGCATTTGCTTCATATTCCTGCTTATTGCACAGCAAGCACATTTGCATATCCAGAGGTGAAATGGAAATGATTGATGCAAAGAAGGTATCTTTGTGAATTGCTAGTGCTCTGAAGCATGCCTGAGTAGGACTGTTAGAGATGAGTGAGGAAAGACAGAACTGTTAGAGGTATAAATAATTGTCGAGAGCAACTTTTAAATCCACCTATTACCACTTAGCAACATCTAAAATGATCCACAGATGGGAGGGGCAGCAATACAAGGTCTAAGCCAAACTTGGTCTTCATTGATATAGATGTTGGCAATTGTCCCTGTATCTTGGTCCATTTTTTCTCATGTCTGGTGACTGCTGCATGTTGCAATAACAGTGTCTTATGCTCAGAGTTTACGGGTGTCTGAGAGTTTGGCCAATTTATCTCTGCAGCACCAGTGAAAAGTCCACTTGTTCTCTTTGTAGGAAAGCTATTCATAATGTGCTCTCATACATGCAAAGTAAAGCCAAAGTGAGATGAACATTCAGTTTGAGAAGTGAAAGCCACGTCTGAAGTACTCAAATACTCTCAAATTGTGGTACTTCTTAATTTATACCCTTCCACCTGTAACTCTTCTGCTATGAAATCATCTTTGAAACAGCCACTGTCATTAGATAGTAATTCAAGATGTTACCCAAAATTTGGTCTCATAACCTCATTCCAAAAAATGTATTATAAATTCTCTAGATAGAGAATGCAGAATGAATAAGGACAGTGTGTTCACTTCTGTTTCCTTTTGCTTTATCTGAATTGGGAAATTTGTCTGCATTTTGGGAAAATGTGGGGCATGTCTGCCTTTATGACAAACCCAAGGTTTACAGAGAAGCTACAGGAATCTTTAGTGGTAGAAAATCAGTGATATCTGAAAAATAAGGGTGTCAGTCTTGAAGATAACTCATAGTGTCAAGAGTTTAACAGGTTGGCTCTTGTATAAGATGGTCCCAGAAGGAGTCCAGCGGAGGGCCACGAAGATGATAAAGGGCTTGGAGTGTCTCCCGTATGAGGAAACGCTGAGTAACCTGGGTCTGTTCAGCCTGGGGGAAAGAGGACTGAGAGGGGATCTGATCAATGTTTATAAATATCTGTAGGGAGATGGGAGGCAAAAATGGATGAATCTAGTCTCTTCTTGGTGGTATGTAGCAATAGGACAAGGAGTAATGGCCTAAAACTTGAACAACTTGAACACATGAAGTTCTGTGCTAACGTGTGGAAGAACTTCCTTATGGTAAGGATGACGGAGCACTGGGTCAGGTTGCCCTGAGAGGTTGTGGAATCTCTGTCTATGGAGATATTCAAGATCCACTTGGATGCCTACCTGTGTGACCTACTGTAGGGTACCTGATTTAGCTGGGGGGTTGGACTAGATGATCTGTAGAGATCCCTTTCAACTCCTGCAAGTCTGTGATTCTGTGCCCCTGTGTTGGTTTGTGTACTGGGTAACTTGTTTACAACAAGCTTGTCTCCTTGTTTGCTTCATTCTTGTTTAGGTTCGAGAAAGAATATTTAGATAAGACTTTTCCTTAAGAAAACTTATCTTAGGACTCATGATTTATTAATGTATTATTTGCAGTCGGATGAGTCATGCAAACTCATAAGCCTATTTTTGTACCTCTCTGAGTGTTAATTTTAGTCATGAATCTTCTGCTAATTATTCTAGCTGACAGAAATCATAAGTATTTTGGTTTTGTTTTGTCTTTATAATATCACCCTGTAACTGAGGTTAGTAGCTATAGTATAAAACATTTATCTGTAGAAAACTATGTGTGAAATCCTTTTGGAACCATACTCGATTGCAGTCCATCTCAGATTGCTGTAAACAGATGTTCAAACTCAATCCATAGCTAAAAGGTAAATTGACAATGTGAGTGCTGCATTTATTTGCTCTATTTCAGATCAATACTTCTTAGTGTCTCTTCTGTATTCTTGACAGGTGAGGTTGAATAATGACAATCTTTATATCAACAAATGCTTTTCTACTATGTGATTATAACAAATTTCAATCAAGCAGTTGTCTAAAATTAAGTCATGTGAATAGGCCTGGGGCCTCTCGTTATCATCACTCCAACCCATTTAATAATTGGGCTCTTCCTAAGTAAGTCTTACGCTGGTCTTCCACGTGGTATTATTGCCAGTGCTTCTTGTATATTCTGACCAAGTGCTGTATGGGTTATCGTCTCACACTTGCATGTCTCAGTCCAGAAGGATGGTTACAGGATTATAGAAATCTATTTTTCCACATTTTCTGACATTGCTGAATTTTAACATTTTAAGTAGAAGGGAGTACTCTTCAGTTAATTGGCTTCTACATAAAATAATGACCACTGAACAGCTGATAAATCAAAGCAACTCCTTTTCTCTGATAGCTGCTTACTTCCTTTCATTTCTCTCTTTCTTCCAATGTACCTGGTGTTTTATTCTCAGTGTTTGTGAAGCTTTAAGCTTTTTATTATCTCAGAAATAGTCATTTTAAGTATCTGCCTTACACTGAAAAAAGTGAAGGGGGTGTGTGGTGATGGCCACTGGGAATCATTTTGTTGGAGAATAAAAAAAGAAAAATCCACTGCATCTTAAAACTATGTTTAATGATTTGTTTCAGGAACTTCTATTACATCACAATGCTGAGGGATCCAGTATCACGATACTTGAGTGAATGGAAGCATGTCCAGAGGGGTGCAACGTGGAAAACTTCCCTTCATATGTGTGATGGAAGAAGCCCAACACCAGACGAGCTACCAACCTGTTATGAAGGAGATGACTGGTCTGGAGTCAGTTTACGGGAGTTCATGGACTGTAGCTACAACTTAGCCAACAACCGCCAGGTGCGCATGCTGGCAGATCTCAGCCTGGTGGGATGCTACAACTTGACTTTTATGAACGAGACTGAGAGAAACGTGATTCTTCTCCAAAGCGCCAAGAACAATCTGAAAAATATGGCCTTCTTTGGGCTTACGGAATTTCAGAGGAAAACACAGTATCTCTTTGAGAGGACATTCAACCTGAAATTCATTTCCCCGTTCACCCAATTCAACGTCACACGGGCCTCCAATGTGGACATCGGTGAGGATGTGCGGCAACGGATAGAGGAGCTGAACTTCTTGGACATGCAGCTTTATGACTACGCCAAGGACCTGTTCTTGCAGCGCTTTCAGTACTCCAAGCAAGAGGAGCATCAGCTGAACCGCCTAAAGAGGCGAGAGGAGCGGAGACTGCTGAGGGAGCAGAGAGCTCACCAGTGGCCAAGGGAAGAGGCGGCAGAAGTAGCTGTTACTGAAGATTACAACAGCCAGGTTGCACGGTGGTAACACTCCTCCATCTTGCCTAACCCATGGGGGGATCAAAGAGGCTGATTCTTCGTGCAGCTCAGCTGCCTGAAAGTCGGCCAAGGAAGGCCACCCACCATGGTAAATGATACAGCATCTGACAGCTAACCTTCCTTGTCTCCGTTTTTCTTGCTTTCTGTCAGTAAGAAGAATATATTTTTTTTTCTCCGTGTACTTTAATTAGTGTTCTTAGTCGCAGTAGAAGAGATTCCCATCCAAACAGACTTCCTTCAAAACCCTAAGCTGTGAGAATGGGTTGAAGAGAGGGCTGTGTCTATGACATTAACAGACGTACCCTCTACAATCTGAGCTACCAAAGCTTGTGCAGACATGAATCAAAATTGGAAAAAAAAAATTTTGTTTTGATTCCTCTGTGTTGTGAGAGCTGGTTTATTTCATATTGTCCTTTGCAATTGTAGTGTGTAGCTTCCTAGTGAATGAAATGGAGGTAAACATATTGCCCTTCAAACTTCTACATGCTGGGTTTTGATTAAGGAAAGAATTTGCTGAGGTGATTAAAAAAGACAAAGGAAATGTGGGGTTGGTGTAGTGCTTGTTCTTTTCTGTAAACCTGCAGAGATCAGAGGTCAGAGATCATTTGTAAGCAAATTGATGGGGGGTTAGTTTATTTCTCTGCAGATGTTAAGGGTATCAGACTCAGCCAGGTAGCAGCCATCTTCTGAAGTGTGTGTGGCAAAGGGAAAGCTGGAATGCAAAAACTGGGAAATGAGGACCTTGCTGCAGCTGGTCGCACACTGCCAAGATTATCTGGCTGTAGGCAATGAAATCAGCCTTCACATTCACAAAAGGTGAAGAGGGGCTAAGTGAACTACAGGAGAGAGGAAAGACAGAGCAGGAGAAGCTTGAATATTAGTGGGACGTTTTCTAGATTTGCTGCAAAAGCCTGGAGATGTATTGTCTGTGAAGACAGGCAGGCTTATGATATTGTCTGTTAAAATACATTAATGCCAAGTGAGCACAATTTGGTTTTCTCTCTAACTATGGTAGTAGCTACAAAAAAAACCCTCAGCTTTTGTTTTTATAGATACATAGTAGATATTTGGGAAGGCTTGATATTTATTATTCTGTATGAAGATTCTTTGTAAATTAGTTGTTTTCATGAAGAGAGGTCTGTATCTGGTTTTATTCCTTGTCTACAAAAAGATTCAATGGATTCTTTGTCCACACATTACATTCTTAACTGCACCTATTTATTCTGATTTTTTTTTTCTTGATTCTATTTGTAATAGTGGAACTTTGAAAAGAGGGTCCTGTGCATCAGAGATCTTTTGAGGGAGTTTTTTTCCTTCTTCTTCTAGCATAAATCTAAAGCATTAGGAGGAAATTTCTCTAAGTGCCTCAACGTGGCTGCTAAATCAAGATGCTGAAAGTATATTATTGCATGCATGAATGGCTTTTACCTTACAGATTTACTAATTAGAAATAGTGGAGCACCTGATGTGGATGCACATTTCTCACGTATTTTCAGAATTCAACTTTTTAGCCACTCATTAAAAGTTTAACGTGCTGCAGAAAAAGAAATCAAGTTTGAAAATTTATCCCTTATTTCCAAATGTTGTTTTTAATGCATGCTGTATCTTTTTTTAGTTCCAACAATGCTATTTGCTGCTTATCTATGCATAGTATCAAAAATATGATCTAAAGATCCTGTTGAGAGTTAATGCATACAACAATATGTTCAACTTGGAATATCATAAAGAACATTAAGAAGTGAAGAAGGCTACTGGGGGGACACCTCAATACTGATGTAGCTTATTGGCAATATGCTTCTTGACAGCAGTGTGTTAGTTCTGTGATAAGCAGCAGGGCTATTGGTCCGCAATACCTGTTCCATTGGTGGATGGCATACGCCTCCTCCCACCTCTGCCTTCAGAAGGGAAATCACGGGACTACAGTGATTCTCCTGCCCAAGCTTGGGATGTCCATCTTAGAAAAGACTGCCCGACGTCCTGTCTGGATCCTCATCTCCCTGAAGAGGCTCCCAGACTCTTCACTCACACAGAAATACCCGTGTTCAGAGGTTTGAATTGAAGCATTTACAGATTGACTCTCGCTGTTTGTGCAAGAGAAGTGAAGGTGCCTGTGGCACTCCATGCACCATGTCCAGGGTCTGTGACTGCTCTTCTTGTCTCTGTGAGCACAGGGAGCTGGAGTGCCAGGGGGACCCCGAAGGGCCCTGTGCCAGAGGCAGAGATGGGCAGGAGCAGGGCTGCTGTTGGGTGTGCGTGGAAGGAAAGATGCTAGGACAAATTTGGATTAAGGAGAAAGATAAACAAGAAAACAGAGTAAGTCCCATCTGTAAAGTGTCCATCAGCACCAAAAGGGTTCCCTTTGTCTCATCCCTGCCTCTCTCTCCAGCAGACTGCCTCAACAGCAACAGAGGCCTTGTTTTTCATTTTGGAAGTGTAGTGTTATCTTTCTAGGGGAAAGGAGAGAGAGAGAGCAGAAATTCTTCCCTGCAGCCCCATCAGTTGCTCAAAGCATCAGTTTCAGTTCTCTAGGCACACGAACAGGTCTCCAGACTTCTGCACAATGCAAAACAAAACCTAATGAGGAAAATCAAAGCGGTCTTTGGGCAGTTTACATGAACTTTAATGGTTTGGCAATACCTTAATGCAATGCCTAACATTTTCTCAGTCATTCCCCAGAAGATGAGATTAGGGTCTTGAAGAGCTGCTAATGTTCTGTAGTATCTACCTTAATGGCATTTGCTTTAAAGCTTGGGACTTAGTTAAAATTTAAGGTTTCTCTTGTTTTTTCTTTTTCCCGGAGCCTGTCCATAGCACTGGTGTCACATAGCACTGGTTTTGTAGAATCAGAGTCTGAGATCATGCTGTCATCAGAGCCCATGGCCCCATCAGCTCCCTATAGCTACAGCAGTTAAGTCCAGTGAGCCCCCAGTGTCAACACTGCTTCTGCCATCGTTAGCAGATATTCCTGACACATACAAAATAAGGCTGTTCTGAAATACTTCCAGGTGGACTTGTCTTAAGACACAAGCATGCAGCTTTTTCTTCTCAAGGGCAGCACCCAAAATAATGTAAATCAGCAGAAGAATAAAGGTCCTGGTTTATCTCTCTTCACAGAATCACGGAATCACAGAATGGCCAGGGTTGGAAGGGACCTCAAGGATCATGAATCTCCAACCCCCCTGCCACACGCAGGGCCCACAAGCACCCCATTTAATACTAGACCAGGCTGCCTAGGGCTCCATCCGGGGCGTCCACAACCTCTCCGGGCCGCCTGTTCCAGCACCTCACTCTCATAGTAAAGAACTTCCCCCTGCCATCGAACTTAAATCTTTTGTTCCAGTTTTCATTGCTCTGACAGTGCTTCACTGTAACTACACCCGCTCTGTAAGATCAGAGAGCAATGTGTTCCTTTCAAAACATTTGTGAGCAACGACTCTGTAGAATTTCTGTCCATGGCAGTGGCTTTATTTTGTTGTTTAAACAAGGCAATTTGGCTTCTGCTACTGTGATGCTGAAACGAATCTCATTCTTTTGTAATGGAGATGTACTTACTAATCTCTCCCATCACATCTTCAGCACAGGCTGCCTTTTCCAGTTATAATTTGCTGTAGGCTTGGAGCGGCCGGAGAAACATGCTGTGTTGTTGAAACGGGTTCTTGGTAATTTGATGTCTAGTCCAAGAATTCAGCCTATTGCCTATGGGCTGTGCTTTATTAAGGAATGGATTTTTTTCCTTTCTTCCTCACTCATCAATGCTAACAATAAAATGCTTTTTCGCCATGGGGAAATGAAAAAAAAAATGTAGTTTATCATTTTTGGTATTATTCATTGCAATTGCATTAGCAATGAGGCTGTAATAGCCTTGCTAGGACTTCTGCCCAGCATGTGGTAGTTACCTGCAGCTTGCTAGAAACAGAAATAGAGAGTAAAAAAATTCATAGAATCACAGTGTTGGAAAGGATCTGCAAGATCATCTAGTCCAACCATCCTTCCATTACCCTTGCTACCACAAGCTACATAATCATATCTCTTAGCTAGGAAGGAAATCAGATCCACAGCCAAATTCCTAACTTTATTGTCTCTGTTCAACCAGTCCAAATGGTGGATTACATCACCCTTGAATCTGAAGGTGTTTCAGAATTGACTTCCCACTTCTTGCTGGGAAGGTCTTGTTTCCTATACATTTTCAAGAGGTGCAAGTATCAGTAACTATGACTGAGTGTGTTGTTAGGGACTTTTCTCAGGCTGACCTTCCAGATAACACATTTCATTCTGTGCTAGTAGGTTGTTTTCCACCACAGTCCTTACGGTACTGAGCACTGATGCTATAAAATTTGTTTTATCTCCACTACATTTTTCCTCCATTGCTGTTCCCTTGATACATATGAATTTTTTTATTATTGTTACTATTATTTGTTTGTATGGGATAGGGAATGTCTGTTTTCCAAGCTAGTGGAGATTACCCTCTATGAGGCATTAAGATGATCATGATAAAATCATTCTCATATAATAGATTGCTGTATCCTTCCTTCATATGGCAAAAGGATATTCAGAAAAGGTACTGAGCACTGAAGGGCTCCATTCAGTTTGTAATGCTTTATTTGTTTATGTTTCATGGAGGGAAATGGGTTCCATAGCCTACAAGGTCCTTGGCTTTCTTCTTGGCCATATCAATAGCTCCATGATTTCTAAGAAATGTTGGAAAAATCAAGAGTTCCCATCAGTTGCCATATTTGAGATAAAAGAGTAAATTAATAGGCTGTAATTATCTTATTCTTTAGGATTTTTCCTTCTGTTTATGTGCAATAATGTGTGTGAACTCTGCTACTAAGAGATTGTATTGTGAGTAACCATATCTACTTTTACTCCTATTTAAAGGGTAGTTTGTAGACCTAGGGGTTTTCATTGATGTAAAGCACAATTTAATGAATTATTTAATGTGTTTAATCATTGTGATGTCAAAAGCAATTGTTTTCATATAATTTATTAGTTGGTGGTTTTCTGTAAATTGATACTCATTAAGAAATCTGTTAAAAATGTTTTGTTGAATATTGTTGGGTCCATGAACTACTTATGAGCAACAAATAAACATTGATTGCATCTTTGAAATACTGAAGGTTCCATCTTATCTACGTAGCCAGAAAAATGGCTAAAAATATTCCTGTTTCTGGATGGACTGGTTTCCATCATGCATACAGATTCACCGTGATCATAATTATGTTTTTTTTAATAAAGTGTACATAGAGGAGAAGCATGTTGACATAACTTACTCTTTAATTATGTTGGGACCCAATCCTGAATCTTACGATTGCAATTGACTTTAGCGGGCTTCATTTCAGATTAAGTTCAGACATGGAACCTGAGACTTGCATAGTCACTAGCACTAATTCAAGTGACCTCAGTGTCAGAATTTCCATACTTGGGCTGAATTAAGATTTAAGTATGGAAATGATTGAAATAAAGCTGGTGAATTTGTTGGACTTCATTTCTACCAGTCCCAACCGTTGGAGTAATCTAGAGAGCTACCACAGGGAAAACAGAGAAGTTTGGGTATGCTGTTGCACCTTTAGTCTCATCCACATGTCCATACATCTTCTTTGAGTGCAGGGGCCTTGAGAGGAGGTGATTTCAGCCTTAATATCTCATAGAAATGGATGAGTGCAATGAACTAGGACTGGGATGGAAACATGGGGGAGCATGGAGAGGTTTAAGTAAGGAGAAAACTCTGAACTATTTTACAAAGTAACTCAGGATCACTTTTACATTAGCTCCTTCAGAGAGCAGTTTGAAAATCTGTTCCATGACTATTTTATCAGGCCAAAAATCCTTCACAGCTCTTGGTTCCAACAATAAGCAAACATGCCACATCCATAGAAGTGAGTCTGATTTAAAGAAAAGGCCATGTTGTGGCAAATTAAGAGTGGGTGACCTTGCCCTACATCCTTTTCATCAAAGCCAACTGCCCTCTGCTAAGTGCAATGGAAAGCATTATTATAGGTAAAAAATATAGTCAACATGAGAAATTACTCTTGATACACAGTGAAAATAGCAGTTGTTTAGGGCAGTGGAAGAAAGGAAGTTCTCAAAAGTTCAGGTTAGTTTTGTTTTCTAAATTGTTCTTCGCAAAACTTTACACTCCAAAAGCTAGTGCTTAAAAAACATAATTGTCAGGGGAGGCTGATTGAGTCTGTAGGAACGAGCACCTCTCTGGAATTTATCCTTATGTCATCCTACCCCGTTTTGTATTTTTTCTCAATTTAACTGTACTTCTGGTCTTCTCTTGAAATATTTGTGTATGTGTGTGGATATGCGTCTGGGGTCTAAATATATCAAAAAGCTTCATGAATAACAAGGTAAAATGGTGCTTGTGCCTTGCAAAAGGACTGTTTAATAAGCTTTTGTATCCCTTTCTGTGCTTTTGATGAAGTCCCTGCTGCAAATTTCAGTTTTTATATCACCTGTACCAATTTCAGTGTGTAACATTTTTGAGAAGTGAAAGGATTGGAGGACTTTGTAATCTCCAGATTTCTCTAAATTGTACATGTGGCAGCATCTCATTGCTGGCTTGGTGGTTGATGTGAATTGAGCTTAATTCCTGGGAGGCAGATGTCAGCCTCTGAAAACACATAGTGTTTTTTGAAACCAGACCCCCAGAAACTGATGGCTGAATGAGCAAAGAGAGTGGACCCTGACAGCGAAGACCAGATGGCGTGGGGGGCTCATTCTACTGTGGAACAATTCAGACTGCTAAACAGAGTCATCCAGTGCTGTTTGCCTGCCTGGCCTCCAACTCCTGCTCCAGAAGGATGTCAGTCTCAGTATAGATGCTGTGTTGTATTTGTAAGCCCAGTGCAAATGTCTCAGATACCCACAGGTCTCTAAAAAACAGAATCTCTCTACTGGAGACTTATATTTAGAAACCCAGATTGCTGCCCCATTGCTTGTATCATTTGAGGCCATCAATTGAGACAGACTGCAAGGTGAGAGTCCATCATCATTGCCAGTAGTGAGCACAAAATCAAATACACTGCAGGACAGTGTGAGTGATCGAAAAGCAAAATGAATGTTATTATCTTTTTGAGTCCTGCACTCTAGTGAAAGCAGTTATGAAACAGGGGCAGAAAGACGGTAAATGAAATAAATGTCTGTATTACTGATAAATATTACTGTATAGCAAAAGTAGAAATGGATTTTACCACAAGAAGACAGATAACTTTTTTCCACATACATAGTTACATTTCAAGAAATGTGTCAGAAAATTGTACTGTAATGCACAGTTATGGCACAGTTATAAGCAAGTGTGAGAATTGGCATTTCTGGACTTTATTACACCCAGCTGGAGAAAGGCTTTCATTTTTGAGGTTTCATTCGCATTTATTTCTATTTTAGCTGCAGAGGTTATACAAGGTGTGACACCTTTCAGCATCTGCTAAGAAATTTCTGATTATGCCCGAAAATTTGGAATATGAGAAAATGCAATTAGACAGCATGGAGGTAAGTAGATGACTGTTATAAATCCTATTGTTATATGAAAGCACAGAGTGCTAAAAATGTATAATGGTAAGAATAAATAATGCCTGCCTTGCTCATACAAGAGGTCTACTGCAGGATTTTGTCCACTGGGTGAACAGCTTGCAACTTCACTGTGAAACACATAGGTGAGAGTCCCTTCACACCACAAGAGGTCAACTGGAACACCACTTTCTCATACCACCCTTGGGGAATTCCTAACGGGGCATAAGCATCTGGCCTGCTTTAGAAATTTGCTGTGGAGCAAGAAGGCACTTGTCCCAGAAGTGGCTCCTTCTCCTCACTGTTTGCAAACAGGAAAAAAAAAATCCCCAAATGTTCTTTAGAGGAGGTAGAGGCTTCATGACAGATTACAAGGGAGCAGCACTTCACCTTTGGAAAGCCTGCACTGGAAACGAATTGTAGTATCATTAAGGTTGGAAAAGACTACTAAGGTCTTCTAGTCCAGCCATCAGTCCATCATCGCCATGCCCACTAACTGTGTCCTTCAAATGAAAGTAAGACTCCCAAGGTGACAGGACTAGAGTTACTTGAGGATGTGCAAAGACCAGAGAGGTAGAATCAAGGATGGAGAGAGCTGACCTCAGGACCCTCGGTGCAAAGATAATTCTCAAAACCACTAGAAGGAGTTGGCTAGCTGAGAAATAGAAGATAAGTAGGGAGGAGTACAAGCACCAGAGAGCCAAAGAGACATCAGCTGTGTAGAGA